GCCCGGGCCCTCGTGCTCAACTTCTTGCTGTCCTTTGCCCTGGCCATCACCTTGCCCTGTCCCAGCCTGCCATGGGCACCATTTAAAGCCCTTGGGGGCTCCCAGATCCTAAGCACAAGCCTGGGCTGGGGCTTGTCCCCTCAGCATCCCCCAGGCTCCACGTCACCCTGCTCCAAGCCTGCTGGCCCCACGGTAAGGAGGGGCTTCCCCCAGACCCCACGTGCTCTTCGGGGGGCAGTCCAGACCAGCAAGAAGGCCCAGGGAGAGGGTCCCGGATGCTGGAAGGGTGGGCTCTGGTGGGCTGCACAGAAGCAGAGACCCAGCCCTCACCTGGTGGACCGGCCGCCCACGCAGGCCAGCCCCCATGGGAGGGTCAGCCCGTGGCCCAGCCAAGAAGCCCAGCACTGAGCCAGCCCTAGCCCTCTAATGAGAGGTCCCCATGGTAGTGGGGCACCATTAATGCTGTGGCATGGGAGCAAGGACCCGATGAACCTTTCTGCCTCAGCCTCTTCCCCAGGGACGGATGCCTGCCTCAGGCCGGGCAAAGATGCGGACTGCAGGCCGGGCAGGCCAGGCAAGGACGCGGACCGCACGCCCGGGCAGGCCGGGCTCACAGGGTGGGACGGGGCAGGCCAGGCAGCCTGGCTCACAGCTGCAGGAGAGGCTCGAGGAGAGGCGGCTGGGGGGGAGGGTGGCTCCCGCCGAGGCAGAGGTGGCCTGCCTGGCGTATAGGGCAGGGCACCGGCTGAGGTGCCCAGACAGGACACCGGCAAGCCACTAGGACACAAACAGGCCCTGTGGCCGGCTCATCTGGCCCTGGAGGGTTGGACGCACCCAGGCCAGGACTCCAGGTAGAACTTCCTAAGCTCTCTCTCACCACTCTCCCTCCACGGCCGACGGACCCCAGTGGACCCAGGGAGCCAGACCACACCAGTCACGGGGATACGAATCCTTTATTGATCACAGAGGTGAGGCAGGGCCTCAGGGGGCCCTGCTGGGCCACCCCGCTGGGCACCGGGCGCTCGGGGCAGGGGCCTGGACGGCAGGGACCTAGGACTCGGATTCAAACATCTTCTTCCGGCCCTCCATGCCGGACTTCTCCTCGATGTTCTTCCTCCAGTCACCCACGTCACGAAGGTCCCGCTCCTGGGGTGGTCCAGACAGGCCTCAGGCCCAGGCCCACCACCCGCACACCGCCTCGGCCTCCCCTCCTCACGTAGGGGGCGGGGCTGACCCCGCAGCCCGCAGCTGTGGTCGCCATGGGAGCCCAGGCCTACCTTCTCTGTGTCCTCCTTCTTGACCTGCTTCAGGTTGGCCCGCAGGTCCATGCACACCTTGTGCTTGGAGCCCAGCAGCGCCTTGAGCATGGCGTCGGCGGACATGCGCACACGCCGCAGAGGAGGTCTCTTGAACTTGCCCCTCAGGTCGAACAGCTTCTGGTTCATGTCTTCCAGCTGGCGGGGAGGAGGGTGGGTGGGTGCCGGTAGCCACCTGGCCCTGCCCCCCCCGTGCCGTCCCTGCCCCCCCCGCCCTGTGTCTCCTGGTCCATCTCATCTGGCCCACCCCTCTGTCACCTCACCCTACCTTCGCATCACCTTTACTGTGTCCCCTGGCCTCACTCCTGGCCCTGCCTGCTCACCTCCTTGCTGCTCTTCTGCACCTTCACCTCCATGTCGTACTTCTCCTCCTCTGCCACGTCGATCTTAGCGTGCAATTGCTTGCAGAGCTCCTGGGGTGGACAGGCAGCAGGTGGGCAGCCACCCCCCCCAGAGCTGCAGTGCCCTCCCTCCCGCCTGACCCCCATCCCTCCCCCCGCCTGACTCCTGTCCCCTGGAGAAGCCGAGGAGGCAGGTGGCGGGCAGGTGAGCTGTGGAGAGCCAGTACCTGGACTTCAGACATGGAGCCAGGGATGTGCAGGGGAGGGCAGTGCTCGGACAGGTAGTTCTGCTTCTCCGACTCTCGGCGGCTCTCCTCCTTCTCCAGCTCTGTGGCCGCGATCTGGAGCATCACGCTCTGGAGGGTGGTGGGGGTGGGGCCGATGTGAGAGACCGCAGCCTAGTCCGGCACCCCGCACCCCGCACCCCGGCACCGCCCCACCGCCGCCCATACCCACCTTCAGGTGCTGTCTCCGGGCCGTGATGGCCCTGTTGCGTTTCTGTGGGACAGGGCGGAGGGAGGAGAGTCAGGCTGCTGATGGGGTCCCTGGTAGGTGGCTGCAACCCTGGCTTTCAGCAGCGTCCAGTCCAGGGGTGGGGGGCTGCACCTGGCCCTGCCCAAGGTCCCACTCCCCAGCCCAGGCCTACCATCCGACCCCAGTGAGCACAAGGTGTGTGGGGGGGGGCTGGAGGTGGAGATGGGGGGGCCTGGCCTCAGAGCCATGGCCATGAAAATGGGGACAGAAGCCAGAAGTGTCCTGGGCCTGGCCCCTGGGGCCTGGGTGGGGGAGCAGGGAGGGGATCAGGTACACTGCCTTCACCGGTCAGGCACGGTGGCCACGCCCCCCGCCAGTATTCCCAGGGGGCGGAGCACTTTTAGGGGAGTCTTCTCTATCTCTTGAAGCTCTGCCCTCTGACCTTTCCCAACCAGATCCTGCCCCCCACCCCTGGTGGTACTCACCTCCTCACTGTCCCGGAGGTACAGGGGGTGGGGGAGGAAAGAGAGAGGTCAGGACAGGAAGCAGGGGTGGGCCTGTGGGGCAGGTGCATTGCTGGGAGCAATGCAGGGGTCACCCGGCCTCCCCCAGGGAGAGGGGCTGGTCAGCAGGGGTCGCTGCCCCCCCAGGGAGAGGGGCTGGTCAGCAGGGGTCACCACCCCCCCAAGGAGAGGGACTGGTCAGCAGGGGTCACCCCCCCAAGGAGAGGGGCTGGTCAGCAGGGGTCACCCCCCCAGGGAGAGGGGCTGGTCAGCAGGGGTCACCCCCCCAGGGAGAGGGGCTTGTCAGCAGGGGTCCCCATGCTGGGTGCCACTTACTCCCCCATCCTGAAGTCTTGCGCTTAGAGGCTGTAAGATGAGAGAGGCCGAGGCATCAGGACCTGGCCAGCACAGCGTCCCAGGCCGCACCCACCTGCCCTAGCTCCCTGCCCCAAGTCCCAGGGACAAGGGCCTGGAGGAATCCCGGGGTGAGAAGTAAGAGGAGATGTGTTTCCAGAATGTCCCAGGCGGGGCCTGAGGAGCCCAGCTGTCCCCACAGACGCAGCACAGGTGCCAGCGCCGCAGCTATTTTTAACTCTGCTCCTTTGGCATTGGACTTGAAGACAGGGAGGAGAGTGCGCGCCGTGCGGTCTGGGGGCTCCTGCCCGGCTGGCGGACCCCCAGCCCTCCTGCCAGGGGTCCCACACCCAAGTTTGGACATCAGAGGCCTGTCCGACACCCCGGCCTCCTCCGAAGCTGCTCCCCGTGTCTCCTCCCCCCGGGGCAGAGGCCCAGAAGAGCTGCCGGTGGCCCCCTCTGCCCCCCACGCCTCGGCCCCCGCGTGCTAGAGCAAGCTTCCTTGCACATTCTCCTATGCTCTGGCCGTCGGGGCCGGGCCGGCCTCACCTAGAGTCAGGGCGTCAGGGCCGGGAGTGAGATCCGGGCCAGGAGCAGCGCACTGGGCTGTGGCCCCGTGGGAGGGGTATAAATGACCTCCGGCAGGCCAGGCCCCTGCTCAGAAAGGACATGAAGTCCTCCTCAGACCAATGGGGGCACAGCAAGCCAGAGAAGCCCCCACCTGCCCGGCGGCCGTGGCCCGGCCCTGCACTTGCCTGTCCAAGAAGTCTTGGGGTGGGGGAGGGATTGGGTTGCTCTATTTAGGTCTCAATGACGAGTCTGAGATGCCGGACTTGTTCTTGAGAAGAGCCTGGGGACAGCGAGTGAGCGTGGCCTCGTGTGGCTTCGTGTGGGGCTTCTGACAGGCACAGGCCCGGACATCAGCCCAGGGCCTACACACCTGGGGGGCCTGGCCCCTGACATCCTGTCCCCCCCACACTGGTGTCCCCTGTGCCCTCCTGTGTGGCCCCGTGGTTCTGCCCCCCCAGATCCCCCGGGCCGGCCAAATGCTGTCTCCCTGGCCACCCCCCAGCAGATCGCCCCCAAGTCAGCCCAGAGCCCGCTCTGGTGGTGGTACGGGGCACGTGTCCCCTTCTGTGAGCCTGGACCTCCAGTCAGCCCCCGGGGCCCTGCAGGGTGGACCCCATGAGGCAGATGCTCCCCTCCGTGTGACCATGCCTGTGCCTCTGGGAGCCGGGCACGAGGTCCCCCCGAGACGGGCCGCTCCCAGCCCGCCCCGGCACCTCGCCCGAGGCTCCTCACAGGAGCTTGGAACCCATCCTTCAACCACGGGGTGGTGGCGCCACCACTCTGGGAACCTCCCTCTGACCCTGGGGGGCCTGGGGCCCCGTGGCCGCCCGGGCAGGCCCCGCGCCCGCCCTTCTCACCCGAGAGGGGGCCTTCGCCCCTGGCCCGCCCTCGCGGGCCCCGCCCTCCAATCCCCATCCCGCGACTCGCGTCCTCGCCGAGCCCTGCCCGCACCCCGGCCCTTGGGGGCCAGAGGGGGGTTGGAGCCGCTAAAGCTGTCCAGATGTGTGTGTGGGGGGGGATTAGGAGGTGCGTTCTCAGCCAGGGCTGAACTCCCAGAGGCCCCTGAGCACTTCCGAAGACATCTGCTGCCCCCTGCTGCTCATGTGGGGAGGCTTTGTGCCGCTGGTCCCCTGAAGGGCCTGGCGCTCCGCAGTGGCCCTGTGCAGGGCCAGCCAGGTTCCCCACAGGGCATCCCTACTGGCCAGAGCTGGGGAAATCTCTCCCTCCTCTGTGGGGCCCAGGCCTCCTTCGGCGACTCAGGCCTGCGTGTGGAGAGGTGGCACACACTTCCCCGCGTGGCCACGCTGCTGGGCCCGCCCTTCGTCGGCATCCCCTCCACCCACTCAGGCATGGCCGAAGAGTGTTTATTACCCAAAGAAACCTTGGGACAGTCTGTTGAAGGGCCTGGGCTCGGCCTAGGGAAACTGAGGCCTGGAGCATCTTCAGGAGCCAGGCACAGGCAGGCGCAGGCGGGGCTTCAAGGCCAGGACAGCGTCCACCTCCTTGGGGGGCCGCAGGCTGTGCCACTGAGTGATGGGCCTCCGAGCATGGGCCAGCATGTCCGCCCAGTGCTGCAGCGACTGCCCCGAGGCCCGGGCGCCCAGCAGCACCTTGCCCACAGGCTCAGCCCGGAGATGTGGGCCACGGGCCCAGACGGCCAGCACCAGGTCCACACTCTGCAGAGACGGGCCGGGGTGGGGAGAGCATGTGGTCAGACCGGCCACGCGTGCACACACGTACCAGCTGCTGCCCCTGAGCTCTCCCCGTCAGCTGCCCACCTGGATCTGACCGACGGGCACTGGGAAGCTGAAGGCCTGGTTGAAGTAGGGGGCGGCTGTGCCCTTCCGGGGAGAGGTGGTCCTCTTCTTCCATTTCCTCTGCTTCAGCACGAGCTGGACCTTCACATAGGACTCTGGAGGCCCACAGGGGACAGGGGAGGTCTCACCATGGAGAGTCCAGCACGAGGGTCCCAACCCTCTGTCCACCCAAGTGAGCAGAGGTGGCTCTCACCTGCCAGCCCGGGACCCAGGCCGCGGGCCTCCAGCACCACCACCGTCAGGCGGCCCGAGCCGGGCACGTACTGCAGGGACAGGCACAGTGCGCCGCTCCGCTCGGGCTGCAGGCGGTGGGAAGCCGGGGGAGCTCCATCCGGGCCTGGGGCGCTCAGCCCCCGCGGGCCCTCCCCTTGAGCCTCAGTCTCCCCCCGGGGCACGAGGCCGGGCTCCCCTCCAGCTCTGCCTCACCTCCGCCGTGCCAGGGGGGCCCAGCTGATACCAGCGCTCCAGCACGTGCTGGAGGTCCACGGCGGCCAGAGGCAGGTGGAGCTCCCCCAGGGGCTCGTGCTCCGAGAAGCGTCTGAAGTCCAGCAGCCGCACCTGCAGGGCTGCTCGGGGCAGCTCCTCCTGAGGGACCTGTGGGTAGGGCTGTGAGCCGGGGCCGGGCCACGCCGGTCAGACCCTGCACCCCCCCCGGCCAGCCCAGCTCCGTCTCCCCCACCCGCCCCTCACCCACCCCCACCAGCCTGGCAAGACTCACGGGGAAGCGGCAGGTTTCCTCGAACACGGGGCAGAGCGTGCCACGGTGCACCTTGCTCTCGTGCCCTCGCCCGGCCTGGGTGGAGATGCTGAGGCGCGCGTAGGGGTCCGCGGTGCCCTCAGCCTGCAGGTCTGCGGCGCGCTTCAGACCCACTTTGATCTGGGAACCGGCAGGTGAACTAAGCCTGGGGGAAGAGGGCGCAGCGACCCCCCCCCTGCTTCATCTAGCCTGGCAGAGCGGCCTCACCTCCTGGCTCCCAAAGTCATATTCTAGAGACAGCAGGACACGGCCCCACTGCTGGCCCCCAGCACTGGCCTCCACAGCGTCCACATCTGGCTGCACCTGGGTGCATGGGGACAGGGCAGACTATGTGGCTGGGACCACGGCATGCAGGACCGCGCCCCACGGGACGCCTAAACCCAGCACTCACCACCCCCTCTTCCAGGCCCGGCCACCAGAAGGGCTTCACCAGACTGTTCAGCCGCAAGCAGACACGGGACAGCTGGGGCCCCATGGCCTTCACCGAGAATCCGCTGGGCTCCCCCGGGACCACCTCTGTCCCTCCTTTGCCCCGTGTTCCCCTTCCCCCGGGGCTTCCACCTCCTCCCACGGGTCGGCGTGGGCCCCTGCCTCCTGGGAGCGGCCGGCGGGGGCTGGCCGCAGGAGGCCGCTCCTCACCAGGTGCGCAGCTGTGCAGCTCTGGGAGATGCGGCCCAGGCCCACGGTTTCCTTGTCCCCCGGCTGTTTCCGGCGGCGCTGGCGGCGGCGGCAGTGGAGGGCGCAGAGCAGACAGGTGACAGCGAGGACCCCCACAGCCAGGGCCAGGGCAACAAGGCCCCAGCCAGGCCCTGGGCCAGGGCGTGGGAGGCTGAGGTCTTTCCATGGCTGACCTCGGGCCTCCCTGGGCAAAGCCAGCCCCACGCCCCCGTGGGGGGTCCCACCACTCACAGGGGGTTCTGGACACGAGGTCTGGAACCAGCCCAGGCGTGGCTGTGGTGCCGGCCGGGGTCGGGGTTCCGTGGGGGTCTGGCGTGAGCCCCATGTTCCGCTCCTGCTGGGTGGGAGAGGGCCATCTGTGCAAGGGCCCTGGGGCCTCCGCCGGCCATGCTGCTGGGCAAGGAGGACGCCTGGGGTGGCCAGGCCGGGCTTGGGAACCCAAAGAGAGGAAGGCGCTGGGCCTTGGCCAAAGCAGTGGCTAGTGCCCAGCCTCCTGGCCACATAGGCCAGGCCTGGGCAGTGGGGTCTCTGCCCTTGCCGGCACTCTCGCATGGGCTGTCTCCTCTGCAGGGAGGCCTTCCCCAGGGTTCATCTCATCCTTGGGAGAGGGTCTGCCCCCATGGGAGAGCAAGCCCATCCCCCTACCCTGCCCCCCGGCCCACCAACGTGTCCACACGCAAGCCACAAGCGTGCCCACAGTAAACCACAAACGTGCCGCCGGGTAGACCTGTTCACTGTGGCCCTGGGCCCAGAAGCATTTGGGACATGAGGAAGGGGCTGTGTGGATCAAAGGGAGCCCGGGGTCCTGGGATCGGGGTCGGGAGCTTGCTTTAGCAAGCCCGGCTGAAGCACTTCCCTGGCATGGGCACCGGGCCAGCAGTGCCTGGAGAGACGAGGGTGAGGCCGGGGTGGGGGGGGCGGTGTGTGCGGGGGGGGGGGAGAAGGGGGGCACGGGAGGGCCAGAACATTCCTGTGCTCTGACTCACTGCCCGCCCAGACTCGCTTACCTGCCTGCTTGCCTGCCCGGCCACCTTGGCACCTGCCCGGACGGCTGCACCCCACCTGCCCCGGGCCCTGGGGAGGCCGAGTACCTGCAGGCCAGCTCCTCCCACCCAGGAGCAAGGAAGAAAGGGAGGCCGCTGCTGGACAGGCCTCTCCAGCTGTGCCCACAGAGCCTGCCGCCGCCTCTGCCATGCCCAGCAGACTGGCCGTAAGGGCCCAGAATGGGGATGACCAGGTGTTGGGCTGGCTGGCACCCCGACTGCTGCGCTAGAGCCTGGTGAGAAGAGAGGGCTCCACGGTGAACCCCTACAGGAGACCCGCAGCAGCAGCAGAGCTGTGCTGCCCAGTGCACTGAGGGAGGCAGCGGTCCCGGAGCCACACACCCCTCAGAACCGGGGGGAGGCCCGGGCAGGAAGGCAGAGCGGGGGGGGGGTGCCCCACGCCCAGCCAGGGGCACAGAGGGCGGGGCCTGGGTCCAACGCTGCTCTCCCCGCCTGAAGTTTGGGCCGCTGCCTTGGGATTTGGTGATGGCCCTGGTCTATCATTCAGTCATGAGCACCCGAAGATGGTGGGGGAGAGGGCTCTGAACTTTCAGGGCTTGCAGCCCCCTGCCTGCCGCCCCCACCCCCTGCCTGCCGCCCGCTTCCTTTCTGGGGCCACTACAGATGAGCCCTGTAGCTGGCCTGTGGCTCTGAAGCTGCCTGGGGGCAGTGGTAGCACTGATGGGCAGGAACTTCTGAGGGTCTTATGGTGTCCCTAGAGCAAGGCAGCCTCCCCCACCCAGAGGCCAAGGGCATCTTTTTTATACCTGTGCACTCTGGAAATATAATGGTATTGATTGAAGGGTTTTGGGGGGGGGAGTTGGAGGGGGTGGATGGTTGTGGGACTTGAACTCAGGGCCTGGGAGCTGTCCCTGAGCCATCTTTGTGCTCAAGGTTAGCGTTCTACCACTTGAGCCACGGCACCACTCCCGGTTTTTGAATGGTTAATTGGAGATAATGAGTCTCACAGACTTTCCTGCCCAGGCTGGCTTTGAACTGCGATCCTCAGGTCTCAGCCTCCTCAGTAGCTAGGATGACAGGTGTGAGCTACGGGTGCCCAGCTGTTTGAGGTTTTTTTTAAGCGTTGGGATCCATTGCCACACGATCTCTGTGTTTATGTACACATGGGCACCTCTCCCCGTACCCTTGTTTGGCCTCTCTCCCTCGGTCTGAGAGCTGGCAGGCAGGGACAGGGAGGGCCTTGTTGTGGTGAGGGGCCGGCCTTTCTGAGCCGCCTGGTAGAGCTCCCTGTCAGAGCATCACAGGGGCTGCCTGGGAAGGCCTGGAAAACTTGTGGTCCCTCAGGACCTCCAGGTTCCCGTGGAGGTAAAGGTTTGGGCTGTGAGCAGCCACCAGGTGGCGCTGTCCCCCCTACTGGCTCCAACTGCTTGGTGGTGCCTGGCCTCTGGACGGGGGCTGGGGGGGACGGTGGGGGGAAAGGACCCGAGAGCCCTGGGCAAGACACACATGAGGAGCAACTCATGGGCACCGTGCCCAGGGGGTCTCTGTCCCCTCTTCTCTTCCCCAGGGACTCAGCTGCCCATTGCTAGGACAGCTGCCACGCCTGCTGTCCATCTGTGACCCTGCTAAAGAACTCTCTTGTGATGGGCCCTGTCAGACCCCGGAGTCCTCCCCAGTGGTTCCTCCCCACCCTGGCCCTTCCCCGCCCGGCCTGCTCAGCCCTGCCTCCTCTGGGGAGCCCCCAGCCCTACACCACAGCCCCCTCCCCTCCCAGCACCCCTCCCAGCTGGACCCCAACAGAATAACAGCACTGGGTCCCATGGCTCAGGACTTGAGCCTGCTCCCCAATTCCCCCCCGAGTTCCACTGGGCTTGTTGGTCTTCCGGGGGGGCGCACGGCTCAGGCCTCTCCCGGGAGGACCGGTCCCCCCACGTGGGGGGCAGTGCCCTCTCACCTGATGCCCGCCGTTCACCGCGGTCAGCTGGCCTCGGCCGGCCCTGCTATCGGACAGTGCGTGGAGCCTGCGGCCGGGGTTTTGCGTTGGCTCCGTCTGGAGTGGAAGGAAGGGGTGTGGGAGGCAGGGCTTTGGGGAGCCCCACCTCGTGACTGGGGAACTCCCCTGGGGAAGAAGGCTCCCCCTTCAAATCCTAAAGCCCGGTGTCTGGATTCTCGCTACTTCCAGGGGTCCTGAGCCCCACCGGGCTCAGCAGGAGGGGGTGAAGGGCACACGGGGTGGGCCTCTGTAAGGCGCGGCCGTGGGCTGCCAGCCCCTCGGCCTGCTCACCTGGACACAGCGGTGGCCACGCCACCGCCCAAGCCTCCTCCGGGTTCTGGGCTTTGTCGGGCGGGGTGGGGGGCATGAAGCCCAAGGCCTGCCACAGTGCAGTCTAACCTCAGAGCCGACCGTTTGCTTCTGTTGGGCCTGGGCAGGGTTTGCCGTCCAAGCTCGCGAGCCCCCGGTGCCAGGCCAGTAGATCAGGTCTGGTCACTTCAGGGCTGAGGCCACGATGGCTCACCAACGCCTTATCTGTGGCTGGCGCCGGAGGTGGGACCAGTTAATGCTTAACGAGACTCGTCCAGCTGAGGCAGGCCACAGGACGGGGCAGGCAGAGGCCAGGCTGCGGGGTCCTGGGGGGCTGAATGGCCCCAGCATGTCACCCCACGTGGACACGTGCGAGGGTCTGTCCCCTGGTGCCACTCCAACCCGAGATTGCAGCCGCTCTCTTATTCGGCCTGGGCCCAACAAGACCCCCAGGCAAGGAGGCCCCTGGGAGCCCCAAGCCCGGAGAGCTGCTCCCCCGACCCGGCTGTATGGGGGCTTTGTGCCTCTCCAGAAGAAGGGCGTCCACGGCCAGACGGCGTCTGAGGTTCCTGGGCAGGAAGGAGAAAACCAAACAGAGCTGGCAGCCTGCGGGCCAGGCCGGCGGCCCCCAGACAGCGGCTTGGCAGCCGGCAGCCCGTGGAGGGCTGGCGGGGCTCCTGGGGAGGGGGGGCTTCCTTTGAGGGCCTGGGGAATGTTTGAGGTAAGAACTCTGGCTGGGGAGCGGGGAGCCGCTGGCGCAGACGCTGCCAGGGACCAGGCCCACTGGGTCAGCACGTGGGCCCTCTGCCCACGCCGACCCCGACATACGGGGCATGCTGCTCACCTGGAGCCTGGCGTGGCAGGGACGGGCCTCTGTGCTTCCGTCCTAGCCCGTGTGTGCCTCGGTTACCCTTGATGCTGGCTCTCTGCATCCCAACATCCTGGCATCCGAGTGAGCCTGTACCCTACCATCTAAGCACATGGTGTGACAGTGCCCTAATCCCTAATCATCCAGGGAGTCTGGGTCTCCCTCCTGGAAGTTGCACCGCGGCGGCGCCAGCCACGGCCCAGCCTGGGGGAGCTTGTGCTCAGGCCCCAGAAGAGGTCCCGTGCCTGAGCCTGGGCAGTGCTTTGCACACGGTGGCTACGCAGTGGAATCCTTGGGTGTGCACCTCACATCCTGCCCACCTGTACCCCGTTTCTGGGATGAAGCCCCTCCAGCCCGTCGTGGATGGCTGTGTGCAGGCAGCCCTGCCGTCTGCAGACGTTCCCAGAAGTCTCCGGAGCCTGGGGTCCAGGCCTTCATTCCCCCAAAGCTTTGTGTGGGCCCTGTTCCCCTAGTGTTGGGGTCCCCGTTGTTCAGGGCAAGCCTGGAGTTAGAATCTTTGTGCTTGTGAACACCCTGGGTGCACCCCAGCTGACCCACGGCCCGAGGGTCTGGGCGGAGGGCCGCTCTGTTCCACACAGCCTGTACCCAGCTTGCTGGGCACGCCGAATCACCTACTGATACTTCACATGTGGCCCAGTGAGCTGGCCCGGGGCCGGGGCCTCTTTTCTGTGGTTTTGGACACACGTGCTCCATCTTTCGCACGGCTGTGTGTGTCCCATTCTCCCGAGTCCGGCTCTCTGCGTGCCATTCATCCCTGCACTGGGCCGCCCGCCCGCCAGCCACCCTGGTGTCTGGATCTCTGCCTGCCGCACGAGGCCGGTGGCTTCCCTCCGTGGCGGATGGGCTGAATCTGCGCTTTGCACCCCACTCATCCCAGTGCCCGGTCCCCACGTCCCACTGGCCTCAGGTCTCGTCCCTGTACCTGGCTAGTCGAGTGTCTGCCCTGTATCTATCGGCACCCGTGAGTGAGTGTGTCTCCCCGCCGTCCCACACCTGTGGCTCATTGTCGGAAGTCCCTTCTGTTCTCACCTTGGTCTCTATGCCTGGAAGGGTGGGGTCGCTGGGTCACATGGGGTTCCTGCACCCCATAAGCGTTTGTGTCTTGTCCCTGAATCCCAGGAATCCAAATTCCAGGTCCCTACAACCATTCCCTGAGTGTCTGACTCCGGAACCCACTTCTAAGCATAGCTGGAGCCTTGTTCTCCCTCAGCTGGAATCCAGGTCCCTGTACCTCGCCCCCACTTCACCGCAGGGACCCCTGAGCTCCTCCAGTCTGCCTTTCTTGTGTTTATAGCATGCAGCTGGGGCTCTGTGACCTGAACCCCACTCCTGGAGGGCCGGGGAACGTATCCATCCTGACCTGCTACTTCTGGTGCTCATCTGAATACCTAAGATGATGTAACCCCGGGAGCCGGGCAGCCCGGTTGCTGCGTGTCTGGGTGCCTGAGACACCCAGCTCCCCAGAGCCCGGCTCGCATCCTCTCCGTGAGAGCTGCTGTGTTCCTTTCAGGCCTCCATCAGAGAAGCAGGATGCTCTGCGCACGGGCACCCTGGTCGCCTGAAGCTGGACACAGCCCTGCCCCCTGCAGAGCTGGGGGAGGGGGACCCTGTCCCCCGTAGACACCTGTCTGTGCCCAGGCCCCTTGTCTGGGCTGGCTGGACAGACCCCTTGTCCTCAGCCTGGGTCCCGAGACAGCTCCTCTTCCTGGGAGCCCCCCCCTTAGGCCTGAAGTGCCACGTAGTGAGTGGTGTGCACCCGACCCCAGATCCGTGTACTCTTCTCCACCACCCACATTTTGGACGGCGTGTCTTCCTTCCCCCGGGGGCGCTGGAAGCCCCCCCCCCGCCCGCCTGTCTCTCACGTAGACCCACATCCCACAGCGACGGCCCTGGCAGCAGTTCTGAGCTCCGCCGTCTCAGCTGCCCATTAACCATCCATCACCGGCCAGCGTGCGGCCGGCGGGAGTCTGTGAATCTATTCATGCCTGCTCCGGGCAGGCGCTCCACCTCCAGCACTGGGAGTGCGGGGCCCCTTCCCTGGGAGCCCCACAATCCAGGAGTGTGCCCGGGAGGTAAACCCTGCTAATGGCCAGGAAGCCGGGCAGCCTGTACCCCGCAGCTCTGAGTCCTCGTGCCCGGGAATCCAGGGGTCCTGTCTTTGGTTGTGTGTGCTGGAATCGGGGTGCTGTTGCCGCACCTCGCTCTGAGTGTGCACATCAGGCTGACCCAGGAATCCGCACAAGGGTGCCCTGCGCCCCCGTCAGCCCGCGAGGCGGCCGCGCCGCTCCCCCCAGGCTCCCGGGGCTCCCTTAGAACCACCTCTGGGACTCAGCTCCCGGGTGGCCTGTCCATGGGGCTTCTGGGCCCCTGTCTCGGGCCTCTGGGCCCTGTTCACCCACAGCCCGTCCACCCCTGTCACGGAGTCTGTGCATTGTCACCGTGTCCCACCGCCTCGGCAGGCACATTCCGGGGTCTGGCCGGAGGCCAACACAAACGACTGAGCTGCTGGCGCGAGCACTGTGCAGAGAGCGCCACGGGGAGGGGGGGCGCGGGCTAGGGGGCACCGATCAAAGCCTCCCCTGTGCACACCGGGCCCCCCGGCCAAGGGGGTGCTGGGAGCCAAGCCCACCCCCCAACAGAGGCGTGACTGCCAGCAGGAGCGGCTGTGTGCACAGGGTGGAAGGTTCCAGACCCTCTACTGCGGCAGCCATTTCCTGGCCAGGCTGTTCCACCAACTGACTGCCTGGCCAGGAAGTGGGGGACATGGGCTCCAGACTCGTTACTCCCAGGGCAAGGCCAGGCTCAGGGGGACAGAGACCCCACTGCCCCCCTTGAAACTTGCTGGAGGTACTCAGGGCCAAAAAGGCCCCGGGCAGGCGGGTATCCAGCTGCCACAGCCCTGCCCACTGGCCATGCCCTGGAGGACACGGGCCAGGTCACCCCGGGGGTCAGAGGATGGCAGGGATGAGCCTGCGGCCTTCCTGTGATCTAGGGGACCGTGGGTGTCACACGGGCAGCTCCCGGCTTTCCCGCACCCCCTGTGTGAGACATCATCTGAACCCTCACCTTCTGGGATCTTTATGAGACCCAGGACCTGGCCAGGCACTCCCAGTGATGGGGGGAGGCAATATTCTCTGGGTGTTGGGCCCTCCTTGGTCTCTGGGTGTTGGGCCTTCCAATGTCCCTGGGTGTGAGAGACAGTCCATGGTCTCTGGTGTCAGGGATGGTCTGTGGTCTGTGTGTGAGGGATGGTCTGTGGTCTCTGTGTGAGGGATGGTCTGTGGTCTCTGTGTGAGGGATGGTCTGTGGTCTCTGTGTGAGGGATGGTCTGTGGTCTCTGTGTGTGGTCTCTGTGTGAGGGATGGTCTGTGGTCTCTGTGTGAGGGATGGTCGTGGTCTCTGTGTGTGAGGGATGGTCTGTGGTCTCTGTGTGTGAGGGATGGTCTGTGGTCTCTGTGAGGGATGGTCCGTGGTCTCTGTGTGTGAGGGATGGTCTGTGGTCTGTGTGAGGGATGGTCCGTGGTCTCTGTGTGTGAGGGATTGTCCGTGGTCTCTGGTATGAGGGAGAGTCTATGGTCTCTGGGTGCTGGAGTTCTCTGTGGTCTCTGGGATTAGGGACGGTTCATGGTCTCTGGAAGCTGTTCAGGCTGTCTAGAGGGTGGCCTGGTGTCCCCTGGTTGTCTCTGAGGGAGGAAGGACCTGGGACTGCTGTAGGGGACGCTGCTCTTGGGACCTGGGGGTATAGACCCCAGTCTGGAGGCGCCTGCTTTCCCTCTCTGCCGGTCTTCCTGGGGTGCTGGGTGGCCAGCATGATGCCAGCCCTGCTCTGCTGCTCAGGATGCAGCCCCCTGCCCCTCGTCAGCACGATCCCTCCCCAGGACCCACTAGGTTGGGGCCATCTCAGAGGCCTGTTGGTCCAAGATGGACAAGGGGTACCCTCAAGCAAGTTGGGGCCCTTCCTTGGTGGTTTTCTGAGGGTGGTGTCGGCCAGCCAAACTGAAGCCCTAGACCTGCTTGGCTGCGAGGGGCCGGGTCCGCGAGAGAGACCGGCCAGGGCCAAGGTCTCTGGGGTCAAGGTGAAGGCCGGGTGGGGGTCGCCACAGGTGCTGCTCCTTTCTCCAGACACATGGCAGCCTCACCACAACTCCAGAGGGACAGCTGTGCGGGTG